TCTTTTTAACACTGGGCAGTTGGCCAACAAAACAATTAACAAGTATGGGAATCCCGGACCCATTCCTCCCTTTCTCTCTCCTTCCCTCCCTACCGTTCTCTCTTCTGTATTTCTGTCCTCTTTCTCTCTACAGCTGGCCTCAGGCGATGGACGTCCAAGTTTATTTTCTACACGGTGGTCCCTTTAGGGTGGCGGCGAGGCTCCTGCCACGCTGTCACTGATGAATGAGGTGTGGTTCTCTTCTATTACAACAGCACTTGATCTTATTGTTATTATTAGTTTACTGTCCTTTTAACACCAAATGAATGAGAGTGCACAGTCAGCTAATGTCACTATTGGACAATTGTTGAGCCCTTCAAAACGTCACTGAATCTTATTTAAAAAAGGAAATAAAATTACAAATCAATGCAATTTCCCCTCTGTGACATAATAGAAATAATGAAATCAAACTTAGTATTTATCTCAGGTTTGCTATTTCAACATATGCGTTTTAGGGCACCTTTACTAGACTGTTTTGCTAATTTTAATTCACAGTGAAATAGTTTAGATCATAAGTTTTAAAGTCAATGGATACTTTAACCCATCTACGTGCCACTGTTGAGGCCCATGACCAAAATGTATCCCAATAAGAGAGAGAGAGACAGTGAGAGAGAGGCCATGTGTCAGACTGCATAAATAATTGTCAACACAGTGTAAACAGAGCGGTCATAACCCGAGTGAATTAAAACAACTGCTCTGGCCTGGATTAGGGCACAGCTAACAGCTTTTTTAATACTTAAATATTTAAAAATGTATTTTCCTCATGGTAACTTCTAATTGATTACATTTTAAAATATATACTTTTTGTATTTTTAATGACACTTTGCAATACTGATAAGTTGCTTTTTTTTAAGCAATATCCAACCAGTACTTGGACAATAAATATAAATGAGTTCTAATAATATATGCTCTATCTCTCAATTGTTCCCCTGAAAGCTAACAGAAAACTGCAGGTATCCAGATTATTTCATTCCTTCTGACAGTCTGGACTCCTGATTGATTAGTGACTGCCTATTAAGGCCCCCACATAATCTTTGAAGGTGAGCGTTTGTTTGTGCAGTGACAAGCGTGTCCACCATTATCTTCTAGAAACAACAGAGGGAGACTTATCTGCTGCTTTGTCACTGCTCAGGTTCTGCTGCTCTGATGGAGAGGCGTGATGAGAGGGGTTGCCAGGTCAATGCTCAGGCCCACACACAGCAACAAGAACACATGCGGCACACACGAGTTATACAAATATATATATATATATATTTATGAACATATGTGTAATCTGTACAGCTGTACATTAGAAACAGTGGACACGAACCCATTAATGCAGTTGCCGAACTGCACTGCATGAACAATAAAACATGTTTCTGCAGAACATTTATATATTTTATGAACAAAAAAGGAACTTAACGCAGACAGTTTGTCTTTGAACCAGCAAAGAGATCGTTGAGGATCAAACTGCACTTATATAACGCTCAGCTTGGTTTACAGGAACGAAAGAGGCTCGCACACTCTCTGGTGTTCCCAGTTGGAGAAACTGTGGAGATGGAAGAGCAATTTCAGTTACTTGTATAATTTGTATAAAAATATCTCTATCTTTTTCAAACACGGCACACATGTCCAACAGAGAGGATGTTTCCACTGAGATGCATCAGGAGGCTGTTGTTCCACATAACCTTGTTGCATTGAGGATCTCCTTTAAATCGTTCTCAGGTTTGCCTCCCACCACGAAGGGCCACGTCTGCAGACAATGAAATAAGAAAAGCACTGGAAAATTACAACTATTATTCCAATCTTTACAGCAAATTCAAATAAAAATAACACAATCATGACATACTGTATGTGTGAAAGTAGTTTTTGTTCATTTCTGCACATTGTGACAGAAATGTACTTCTCTGCAGTTTTCATGTATATTTTAGCAACTGGTAAAGACAAAATGCCTGGCTTTATATGTAGAACTGAAAATATTTGTTTTGTATTATTCAGTATTTAAATAATTACACATGTTTCCATCATTTTGAAGGGTATAGTAAATAATTATTTTGATTTTTACATGTGAACTTGCTTCAAAGTATAAAGTTTTACTGCCATTTACCCCAAACGGTCCTAAATACATTATTAAATGTATTTTAGTAGCACTGTTCTCAAAACAGATCATTTTAAACTAATATAGTTTTCTGTTCCATTTGAAGTTAAAAACATTTGGACAGAAAATATATCCAAACATACAATTACAGAATTCTACAGTGTACCTTTAAATTAAATAGTAACATGGAGACATTTCTTATTCATGATAATGTATTATATCATTTCTAAATACTTTGAAACCTTCCCTATTTAAAACTTCTGGCTATTTTTTCAACAAAAAAGTTATTTAGTTATAATATTAGCTTAATGTACAGGAGTGTTAAAAAGAAAAATACCTCACCAGGTTAACAGGATGGATGTATCCATCCTCATATTTGTCGTTGGCCAGAATCTGCTGCAGATGTGCGATGTAGCAGGACGCCAGGCGCAGCGTGTCCAGTTTGGACAACTTGGTGTCCGCCGGTACCCAAGGAAGAGAGGTCTTTAACCTGGAAAAAGCTTTGGACAGAATCCTCATCCTCGCTCTCTCCCGGGCGTTAGCAGCGTTTCTCTGCACCTGCTTGCTCTCCTGCGGTGCCGCACCTTTAGGGGTCGTTTTCCGAGACGCCGTTTTCCTCTTCTTACCCGACGCGCCCCTGTGCTCGTCCAGGACGCAAGGGCCGTCGCCGTTGGAACTTTCCTCCGTGTTCTCGTTGAAGTCTTTTTCCCAGGAGTCTAACTTCAGGATGCCGTCCAAAAGCCCGTCGTCGACATCGCTGAGGGAGCCGGTGGACATGGTGAACTGTCTCCCACGGGAGGGGGCTCAAAACATCGGCGCTGAAACAAAGCTGCAGGGTGGACAAGGCTTCTAACCCGCGCGTGTGGCTGGCAAATTAATAGACTGCAAAGTGTGCGGTGAAGGAACAGCCTTTTATACCCATCAGCAAAGTGGGCGTTACCTCATGCTGGGAGGAGGCAAGAGAAGTATCATCTCACTTAGCTTTCTGGGCCCTCAAAACAGAACAAAACAAACAAAAAAAAGCTGTAAAATCACGACCAAAAAATGTAAATACAATGAAGGTGTGTTTCAGTCATGTTTTACACTGAAATGTTCCTAAAATTAAGCCATTTTACATTCCCGCAAAAATAAACGTCTGCATTTGAAATTCAAACTCAGCCTCATTTAATCACTTGACAGCGGCATACGTTGCGGCCATCCCATTGGACTACCGGATTACAGCGGGAAGACGCGTGTTCATAGCGTGTGTGCTGTAGTCAGTGTTGGCTGAGGTGTATGCAAATGTACTCAGCCGGGAGGATTACGAGCTGTTATACTGCTAAATAAAAAATACATTAAGTTGAAATGCATTAATCCATCATTTGTCAGGAAAAACGCTTGTCTGTTTGTGACCGAAGGCAGATTTCGCGGAATATATCGCCGATTAACCGGGGTTAATTGGGAGAGCTACTATTTGACTGTTTGTATTCAAGTTATACCATTACTATTTATTTTCTCCCTTGTCAGATTTGTGTTTCACAGTGATTTTATTTTTATTAGTGTAAACTCTGAATATTAAGCCTTATAATCTCTGCACCTCAATCTGCACATTGACTGATTCCTGTACTGATGGTAAGACACTTAATTAGGTTTGAAGGCTTAATTAAGCACATCTACAAAGCTGTTTCAGGAATACAAGCATTTTTATTGTCATTTTTTTAAATTATATTTTGTTTTTCTGTGTTCTCCCCTCCTTCGTTTCTGCCCTGTGATGTTTAAGAGCTAGTATTGTTTTAACATCCATGACTCATCAGAGCTGGCATCAACCCTGGAGTTTCTGCAGAGGTGTGTCCTTTTGGGTTGACTTTATGCAACATTTTCACATTACTGAAGTGAAACAAGTTACTGTTGCACTAAGGTGACTTGTTATTTTAGCTGTTTACTGTATTAGGTTTGTAAGAATGTATGTTTGTTGTGAATGAAGTAGTAGTAATACAGTGGTTTTCTTGTATTTCCTATGGTGTTTTCTCCCCCATCAACCCAGAGAAGGGCTCTAAAGTGGAGAAGAGCATCACTTCTCATCTTAAAGTGAACCCTTGACATTCTTTACTTATATTTACCAGGCCAAATATGTACATACTGTCTAGTACAGATCACATGACACCTAAATACAACAAATAGTATTTGACTTTGACTTTTTTTAAACTTTTAGCTTTTAGCTTTCAGCACATCTCACTAGTTAACAGGATAAAGTGCAAGGACAGAGGATTGGGCAGGGGGGGATGGGGGGGAGGCTGTCATGTCTCAAATCACACACCGGCGCCTCATTTACCTCTGATGTAATGGATACCCAGCACCCACAATCCCCTGTTTGGCCTTCCACATCATTCCACACTGATTCTCCATGCGCTGGTCCACTCTGGGCCAGGACTCAAAACAACCCCACTGTCTGGGGGTGAGTGGGAAACACCAGAATGTTATGTGCATCATATTAACTCGAAATTAATTTTGTGATAAACCACCCCTTGTGTAGAATTTTTTTTTATCTGGTTTTAAATATATTGGGGTATGTATTTGTTTTTGTGCAAGTGACAACAGGGCCACTGCCTGGACAGCTGAAGAGTGTGTGAGGATGAGAGGTGTGCCTCCAGAGAGCTGACCTGTAACCTCCTCTGCTTCCGGTGTCACAGTGCATCCAAACTGACAAAAGAACATTTAATCCAGTTTAGCATAAACATAAATATAAAGTGCAGCCGTGTGGTTCAAAGATGATTTTATCCATTTTATAGTGTGGACTGTAATGCCCAGAACTGACCTTAGGGTCAAGACCATTTATGGGCTAAAACAATAGACTCTGAGCAGCAATGGACAGTACAGCATAAAACTGGGAACGGGTCAACGGGAAACAAGAATAAGAATTGTAATCTCCTGGGTGGGCTGGAAATTAAAGCACTTACTGGAAAAGTAATAATAGAGCCTGCTAGATTGATGGTCACCCCCGAGATACATGAATGAGTGTAAGAGAGAGAGAGGAGAGGTGAGCAAAAAAACCACACACTTTTTACCCTTTTGTCAATAAAACACAGGCCCAGTTGTAATACTTTTAAAGCAAGTATTCTACTCTAGCAGTCAAGAAGTTAAAAGAGTAATGTGTGAGAAATCTCTAAATACTAGGCATACTTTTAAAACATTGTACTGCAAGGGAAAAGAAACCCTTTAACTCCCAGTTTCATACATTTGCACACAGGGACACAAATGGACACACTCACGGTGACAAGAGGCAACAGGTGGAGCGGAGGGAATGAGAAAACTGAGAGAAAGAAAGAGAGGGGACCCTGGCAGTCATGGAGGGACATGCTGCTAATTAGCCGGTGTGGGGTCAAAGGCCAGGCTGGTGGTGTGATGTCACCATGAAGGGACAGCTTCCAGATGTTGTTGGCAGGGCCAACACACAAGCACACACACAACAAAGTAAACTGAAGCAGTAACTGTTTAAAAAAACTCTTCCTGTCCTGTTCTTTTAAATTATCATTTAGAATATTATTATAATTTGAGTGGAAGTTAATATTAGACAAATGCCATCTTCTAAATATCTTTACACTTGTGTTTGTAGGTTTGTCCAGTTAAATGGTAGTTTGACCAGTTGAATGGTAGTGGTTCCAAAGTGTGAGACATGTCACTTTGGGACTTATACAAGAAGGAACTGTTGATTTGATTTGTTACAAGTACATATAGGAAACAGGACGAATAACTACCACTGCAAGAAAAAACAACCATTCTCTCAGTCTTTATGTAGATTGATGAAATAAAGAAGTTACGTATGTTCACTTGTCTGAGCAGGAGTTATTTTGATTACACAGAAAAGAACATTCTTGAAAAAAAAATCTTATTCCCGTTTGACGTAATGAGTCATTTTAACTCAACTGAGTTATTATTATCCCATCTCTGATAGAGGAGTGTTTACCAGAAAGCCATAAAAAAAAGTGAATACAATGCATTAGAACTGCAGTAAGTGACCGCTGATGGGGGAGTAATGAAAAACAAACTGCAGTTTTATTTAGTGGAAAAATATACTGTGGATACTTCTATTTTACTTGAATTACAACATGTAAAAATAAACAGCAAATGAAAAAAGGAGGATGTTATATCCTGCAGAAAATGTGGTTGGACAGTGTTGTTGGAATGAGGCTCAGGGTGAGAAAAACATCATCCGTCTATGTCTAAATACACCAGTGCCCTGTCCCTTATCACAAACTTACTCCCACAGCATATGCACACACACACACACACACACACACACACACACACACAACCAACCACACATGCATTGGCTGCCTTTTTGCTACAGTTCAAATGACTTTGTTAAAAAAAAAGAAAATCAAAGCAAAACAATAAGAGAGGGGTTGCAGAGAGTGCAGGACGCAACAGGGAGTGAGGAAAGTCACAGCAAAATGATGTGGCAGAAACATCTTTGTTATTAAGAGAGAATTATGAGCGTGTTTATGGGAGTGAATGTATTTCAGTATATTTCAAAAAGACTACAAACCTTTGATATCGTCTGACAGGAACATCCGGGGGAGACGGACAGTGAATCCCCAAAATGAGACTGATATTCTGTCAAAGTGTGGGTCAATGACCTGGAAGTCTTGTCCTTACTGTGAGAGGGAGTTGGACAGTGTCTGTCCCTGGAATGTGCACACACACGCACTTGTCTGGATAAATGTGTGTATCTGGGAATAATAGACTGTTCAGTGTTTCCCAATTTATTTGATAATTGAATAATCTCTCAAACCATATCACACTTGACAATGGAATATTTACCAGGGCATCTCTGCATATTTTTGAATAATTTGACTATAGTCAAAATCGAAAACTAATTTCACATGTTAAGACATTAACCCTGTCTAGTCATTCTGGTATAATACTTTAACCAACCAGGTCCGTTTGTTTTTTTAAAGAAACAACAACAAAGAGAATATCTGCTCTAGCTCCTCTTGATTTACCCCTTCATCTTATCATGAATGCGTCAGAGTTTGTTAGATTATTGTGGATTATGTTTGAATTTACCGTTAGTGATCTTCTGAGAAACAAGCTCTCGACGTCATCAGACAGATTGAGGTCAATAATGAATCCACCTATGAAGAGAAGAGGAGTGAGGACAAAACTGGACATTTAGGACGAAACTATGAAGGTAGAATGAAAGTCATTTACTGCAATTTTAGTATCAGCAAATATATAGCATGTTTGTAGCTAAGATGCCCACAAGGGCCTACAACCTCGTTGGAGTCACCCAACACACACACACACATATGAAGACACACACACACTTAGTCGTGTTGACTTAAATCTGCGTTGGCCAAGGGCCAAAATTGTCCTGTCGGAAGTAAGTGAGATGTGGTGCAGCTGCGTTTGGAGTGTGTTTGTGTGTGTGGTTCAACAGCAATGTGTGGCACTTTTTTAACCTCTGCTGCAACCTCTGGTCCAACTGGTGGCCTGGTGATCACATCCACAGATAATAAAATGTGGTGTGTGTGTGTTTAGCTCAGATGAGTACACAGTACAGGTCAGTGTGGGACAGGGCTGGGTTTGAGAGTCAGAGGTCTGGTCTCTGTCATTGTGATTGAGGCTACAGTTTATAAACAGAGAGAGGGAAAGGGACGCTGCTCAGTTTTCCATCTCTCACAGTGGTCCTGCTTTAATGTGTGTGTGGTTTCATCCTCGAACGGGCCAGATCTCACTGCTCCCACCTAAATCCTTCACAGGAGTCGTTCATGCCCCCACCCCCCCTTCTTTCTCCTCCTCCTCTGTCCCCTCTGCTGTGGTTGGATGTCTGGTCATTCCAGTCTAGCCAAAACAAATAGAGTCAAAGCAGTTAACGGGGAAAAAACAAGTTATTTAGTTAAGATGCAGTCGCACACGTAACT